TTAATTACCTTTGTGTAGTATGAAAGGCCATGGGGGACTTTACTGACTCTTTATCAGCAGGGAAAGCTGTGACAATACAATTAAAAGTCTAAAATTTATGGCCTTGGTGGGCCGATTCTGGCTCCCGGGCCTTATGTTTGACTCACCTATACTACATTAAATATGCAGTCAAAGCCATTAAACTCCATCTGCTTATATTTAACAGTTTTTCCAGTTAAACCTTTTGGTTCAAGCCTAACACAAACCTAACAACGAGGACCCGGGGAGGACCCGGGGAGAGCTGCTTTTTCTGGCCATAAGAAAAAGTAAAATATGCATAAACAGAAGTAACGTCTGACACGAGCGCACTGGTTATGCTGTTCGTAAACTACGTGTGTGATAATCGTGCACTCCATATCTGCAGCACCATCTCCATGACTGTAGTGCAGATGCACATCACTGCGGTTGTGCTTGCCCTGGTTGTCTGCTGGTCTGGCTTTCGATGTGTGCGCGCCAGATGTTTGCCTTCTGGTTGTAATCCGTGCATTAAACACGATAACAGTTCACTTCCACTTCACGTGTGCAGCACGGTAACCATCCAAACTACAACACACAACCACACACTAAGATAATTGTACGTCTTTAGTGGCTTAGAGAGAGTGAGCATTATTAAATTTCACTTTGTCCGCGTCTTTAACGGCCTCCATCCTAACTGATGTGAGGATAACGATCCAAAAACGATCCAGTCATTCCGACCTGTTTCCTCCTTGCTCCTGTGTGTTTTTGTTCTACCGGTTGTTGTAAAAGAAGATTAAATATTAAATATTCAACGGTGCATCAGTTTCAGTCCAGTGAACACAGCTGTTTACACGTAAGTCAGAGACTCGCAGACATTCACGTTCGTCCTTCTCACCGAGCTGACGTGCACACAGTTACACGTTGTAAAAAAAGGATCCTTAATCTTCTTTTGTTTAGCGAAACACGGAGATGCACACTGACATCCTCACACTCCCAAGCTTTGCATTGTTGTGAACTTTTCAGGAACATTTCCACATCAGCAAAACTCAAGATGCAGCAAATATAAACAGAAACAGCGCCACCTATAATTAGGATTCCCCCTTTTTTCCTCACACTTTAGCACAAATAGTCGAATCGCATCCCGCCTGTCTCACCGCTCAGGAAATAGTGGGCTTGCATTAATGAATTCATTAATAAATAAGCAGTGTATCGCCGTCATACGCTCTCCAACACAGTCGCAAACATTTACACTTATTCCCGGGAACGCATCGATCCAAGCAGCCAGTTTAGCATGCAGCTAACACTGTTCTCTTTTTCTGGGGACTGAACTTCGTCTATACTGAGCCTGTTCAAGCTCAGCTCACAGTTTTTTATTGAGTGAATCAAGTTTGCTTCCTGGTAGTTTTTGATATAAATAGAAACTTTTCAGCCTTCGTCCTCACTGAGATGCTTCACAACAGTGCATACAGTGTACTCACAATTACTATAAGACAAAGACAGTGTAACACACTGTCAGTCATAGCAGCAGCTTTAACGAATTTAAAAGGAAACTGCTTTTCCATTACTGCCCCTGCGTTGTTTTCATTTCACAGTGAAGCACGCTGACCTGGCCACGGGGCTGTAAAACAATTTCCTCACATGAGAGAGACAATCTCAGCGCACAATTGCAATGAAGAAATCCAAAATTACACATCCGAGGCTCTTAGGGGGAACGCAATCATGTCGTTTACCATCTCATTATTGTGCCAAACTTTCGGTGCAAAAACAGAAACAAAAGCCAGAATATTATTGCGGGACTCGTTCTAATCATTCACGCTAGCTACGGAGGCAACGTGTAATTTAGGTCTCGTAACCCCGACTGCTGGATCTGAACTCTGAGCTCGCACGCTGCCAGTTTTGTTCATCTTTTAAATGAGTGAGCTATCAGAACATCTGCTACACTCTCATCTCTTTCACTCCACACCTAGCTGTTGGCAGGCACGTATGTACACACACACACACACACACACACACACACACACACACACACACACACACACACACACACACACACACACCACCTGTTTGGCACAAAGATGTGAGTTTGGTTTTAGTTGTGTAAATACATGCTTAGTTTCTCATCACATTTGATAACTACATTGTTATGGGCGGGGTGCTTGAGGAAAATAATGGAGACAATGACAAACACAGACACAGAGTGAAAGCGGCTTTTGTCCGGAGCCTCCGAGTGCTTAATAACAGCGTTATTTTTATTCAGCTGCTGCTGCTGCTGCTGCTGCTCTCGGGATCACGGAAGTCTTAAAATACCGCCAACCAGATTGCGACACAAATTATGCTTCCTTATTATTATGTTCCAACAAAACGGCAATGATTAGCACGATAGGAGCCTCACTCGTGGCTGATGAATGCTGCTTTTCACCGCAGACTGTAAATGAAGGATAA